TATTGCTTATTTTTATTGCACTATCACTAGAACTAACACAAGATCTAGAACTAGAATCATTCGGGTTTAGCCGTCTTGAGAGACGTGCGGCTAAATCCGAATGTTTCTAGTTCTAGTTCTAATGACAGCGATAGGTAGTGATAGTTAGCATAAGATATCACTCTATATTGCATATTTTTATTACACTATCACTAGAACTAACACAAGACTTAGAACTAGAATCATTCGGGTTTAGTCGCCTTGAGAGACGTGCGGCTAAATCCGAATGTTTCTAGTTCTAGGTCTAGTGTTAATTCTAGTTTTACACTAGCGCTGTCACTAAAACTAACACGAGACCTAGAAATAGAATCATTTGAGTTTATCTGTCTTGAGAGACGTGCGGCTAAATCCGAATGTTTCTAGATCTATTTCTAGTGTTAGTTCTAGTTTTACACTAGCATTATCACTAGAACTAATACAAGATCTAGAAATAGAATTATTCGGCTTTAGCCGTCTTGAGAGACGTGCGGCTAAATCCGAATGTTTCTAGTTCTAGTTCTAATGACAGAGATAGGTAGTGGTAGTTAGCATAAGATATCACTATATTGCATATTTTTATTACACTATCACTGGAACTAACACAAGACTTAGAACTAGAATCATTCGGGTTTAGTCGCCTTGAGAGACGTGTGTCTAAATCCGAATGTTTCTAGTTCTAGGTCTAGTGTTAATTCTAGTTTTACACTAGCACTGTCACTAAAACTAACACAAGACCTAGAAATAGAATCATTCGGGTTTATCCGTCTTGAGAGACGTGTGGCTAAATCCGAATGTTTCTAGATCTATTTCTAGTGTTAGTTCTAGTTTTACACTAGCATTATCACTAAAACTAACATAAATATTGCGAGTTATATGAACTTCCCGGTAGAGGTACTTCATTCATTCACCTTAATTCTGAAATTTATTGATCATGTATGAAAACATTAATCTTAAAATGCAGTCAAAGGACGACTGAAGTATGTAGTGTGTATCTAGTTTTCGGTAGTAGTATCTAATCTTTTAAAAAAAAGTAGCAAATTTAACTAAAAAAAACTTAAAATAGTTTCTTACACTATTTTAAATCTTAATTACAAAAATATCTTTTTAGCGAATCTGTAAGAGGCGAACAAAATAGTACATACACATCATCAGAAAGAATAATGTTAACATATTTCGTTTTGGTTCGAACTGAGTATGGATCACTTCCCGATGAATACGGTTTATTAAATTTACTTGCCCATAAAAATTTTGATGATGCTTATCCTTTACATGACGGTAAATGGCAATGGGATAATTACGGGCCCTTAAACGATCGACAAGTAATTTTTTAATTATTTTTGGTACCGTATTATTTAAAAAATATTTTTGTTAACTAGATTTTGTGTAAATTTTGGGCAAACTGGCGTCACTTTTACAAAGACCAACCAACCCATTTGATCTACAAGTACTATGGGCCGGAAATCGCTTTTCATTACGCTTGGTTAGGTTATTATACAATAATGTTACTTCCGGTTTCAATTCTGGGTTTGATTGTGTTTGTCGTGAGTCTTTTTAGAATGTTCATTGATGATATGGAAAGAATTAGAATGTAAGTTTTTATACAAAGAATATCAATAACTATTATCACCTTTAATTTCAGTGAAGATATTTGTAATGACACTTTGGATTTATGCCCACCTTGTGTAAACGCAGCTTGTCTTCCACAAAAAATTTACAAATTTTGTAAAGAAGCCATGATAACTTATCTTACAGATAATGATTTGAGCATATTATTTGCTTTTATTATTGTTATTTGGGGTAAAACAATTTTGAGATAGATTATTATTAAAAGAAATTTAGATTTTTTATTAATATTTTAGCATCAATTTTTTTGGAGTTATGGCAAAGAATCGAATACACATTACGTTATAGATGGAATTTACTTAATGTGAAACCCGACATCGATGAACGGTTTGGAAATTTCTTTGTTTTGTTATTAAATAATAGCTAATTTTTTTTTCAGCCCGGAATTTAAAGAACGAACGAAAAACTACGTTCGAATAAATCAATATACTGGTCTTAGCGAAACTTATTACCCTATCAAGTATCAATTAAGACAATATGCGATTTCAGCTGTATTCTGTTTAATATGTGTAAGAAATTTTTAATTTTAAATGAACATAATTTCGTAATTTGGAATATAATATTATTATCTTTCAGATTGCCTTTTTTATAGCAACAGTTATGTGTATTCGAGCAACCGTTTATTTTTTTAGATACAGTGTGTATTTANATACACATCATCAGAAAGAATAATGTTAACATATTTCGTTTTGGTTCGAACTGAGTATGGATCACTTCCCGATGAATACGGTTTATTAAATTTACTTGCCCATAAAAATTTTGATGATGCTTATCCTTTACATGACGGTAAATGGCAATGGGATAATTACGGGCCCTTAAACGATCGACAAGTAATTTTTTAATTATTTTTGGTACCGTATTATTTAAAAAATATTTTTGTTAACTAGATTTTGTGTAAATTTTGGGCAAACTGGCGTCACTTTTACAAAGACCAACCAACCCATTTGATCTACAAGTACTATGGGCCGGAAATCGCTTTTCATTACGCTTGGTTAGGTTATTATACAATAATGTTACTTCCGGTTTCAATTCTGGGTTTGATTGTGTTTGTCGTGAGTCTTTTTAGAATGTTCATTGATGATATGGAAAGAATTAGAATGTAAGTTTTTATACAAAGAATATCAATAACTATTATCACCTTTAATTTCAGTGAAGATATTTGTAATGACACTTTGGATTTATGCCCACCTTGTGTAAACGCAGCTTGTCTTCCACAAAAAATTTACAAATTTTGTAAAGAAGCCATGATAACTTATCTTACAGATAATGATTTGAGCATATTATTTGCTTTTATTATTGTTATTTGGGGTAAAACAATTTTGAGATAGATTATTATTAAAAGAAATTTAGATTTTTTATTAATATTTTAGCATCAATTTTTTTGGAGTTATGGCAAAGAATCGAATACACATTACGTTATAGATGGAATTTACTTAATGTGAAACCCGACATCGATGAACGGTTTGGAAATTTCTTTGTTTTGTTATTAAATAATAGCTAATTTTTTTTTCAGCCCGGAATTTAAAGAACGAACGAAAAACTACGTTCGAATAAATCAATATACTGGTCTTAGCGAAACTTATTACCCTATCAAGTATCAATTAAGACAATATGCGATTTCAGCTGTATTCTGTTTAATATGTGTAAGAAATTTTTAATTTTAAATGAACATAATTTCGTAATTTGGAATATAATATTATTATCTTTCAGATTGCCTTTTTTATAGCAACAGTTATGTGTATTCGAGCAACCGTTTATTTTTTTAGATACAGTGTGTATTTATCGGAATGGGAATTTGTAAGAGAATATGGTGATTTTGCTGTTAAAATGTATAGCGGCATGGCTACCGTTATTTTTATTAAACTCTATACTCCGGTAATTAACTTAATTATACTTTAAATTTAATGGTTGAATCCCAAATAATTGCATGTACTTTCTCTATGCATATTTAAAACGCTATCTTTTATCAAAAGTCGTTAATTCTCCACATCAAGAACTGTACTCAAGCAAACTTATCGAAACACTTGATTCTGTATTATACAGGTGGTCCATTTAACGTGAGACAAGCGATTATCTCGAAAACGGTTCATTTTACATAAAAATGAACCAAATGAAAGTTGTTCTGTGCGAAGGGGGAAACCATATGACGATAACGTTTTTTGACCTTGACCTTATTTTCAAGGTTATATGAAGGTCACGGCTAATTTTCTAAATGGCACTCATGTTTTTGATTGCAAAATCTGAATCTATGCATAAAAGTAAAATAATTAAAAAAAAAAAAAAATTACCGTGTGGTTTTGTCAGTACGATTTCGAAACAAACTTTTGTAGATAAAATCTAAATAATTTTGTTATTTAAATAGTGTTTGTTTATAAAAAATTGATTAAACTATACTATTAATCAACAAGTACAAAATTTATAATAAATGTTCAAATATAGAATATAGAAATATAGAAGTTGTATTACAACATGATATAAAAATTTTATGTGTAAGTGAACATTGGTTAAGAAAAGATAAACTTAATCTACTAGCATTAAATAATTACTCTCTTGCAACTT